GTAGTTCGTAATAGCTTGTTAGTTCGTAATTACTCTGTGTGTGTGTGTGTGTGTATATATATATATATATATATACACATATAATATACAATGTACACGATGTATGTTTTATATACAGAATACAGGTATCTATCTGAAAAATATGGAGTAATGAATCATTATCTGTTACATTTAAAATAAGTAACATTTTGGGTAATGCCACTACTATTTTAGTAGGTAATAGCCAAAGTAACATCATTACTTTTTCATTGTAACATGCTCAACACTAACTATGGATCTAATACCTATCTTTACATATACACAGAACATGATGAGATAAAAAGTGATAGTAACCCATCTGTTGGGTAAAATAGGAGACTAAAGGTTGGCAAAGAAGGCCAGATGGATCCCCACAGGGTTAGATCTGACAGGGTAGTCACCAACAAAAAGAGTGATGACCCTGAAAGATGAAGAGCAAAAATTGGGCAAGAGAAAGGAAGATAAAAGTTAAAGGACCTACACCCAAAGCAGGTTAAAGAGATTCCAAATACTGGGAATCAAGGAATGGGACAAAATAGTCAAGTAGACAAGGAGGACAAGGCATGTTAGTATGGGTAGAAACAAGACTGCATGAACCCTAATGTCAGGTGAAGAGGAGAAAAAAAAGGTAGCATGGAGTAGAGGTTTCACATGGGAAAACAAGGGAGGAAGTAGAAGACAAAAAGGATTAGGAGAGAAAAGAACATACTTGTGAAATCATGTCAAGGAAGAGGAAACTTGAAGAGTGATGATTTTCCACTACAGATAAAGCTGTGCTTAGAGCAAACCATGGATGGGGAAATAGCTAGTAAAAGCATCATTATTCTGATTATGCTCACTCTCAGTAGAAGGAATGTTGGCTGAATGGATGATAGGAGAAGGCCCAGTGTGCATGAAGGAACCCACAACATGTGAAACAATGGCTGAATTGTCCACCACAGACAACGAGCCTCCAGGAGCCACTATAAAAACAGGCCCTGTGCTAGGAACAACATCACCAAAACAAAATAAAGCAGATACTACCATCACTTCAGAATTCAAAATGAGTAAACAGGAATTAAAAATTGTTTTCCCATTTACATAATGCTGAATTAATAAACAAAATCAGTGTAAACCACCACAAATCTCATATAATTAATTAATAAGTTTAAAATTAAAAATAGGAAAAGAATGAAGTTAATTTCTGTGCAAGTGCTTAAGTGGAGTTACTGCACAAGGAAGTTGTGTCATCCTTCTACTGGTGGAGGGCTATCATTGCATGATGATGTCATCATTGCAATGACTCAGTTCATGTTAAACACATTTTTAGGGGCAGTTAGCTCAAGATTAATGGCATGGAAATCTCATAGGCAGACATGCAAGGAATAAAGATATTTTGTGTGCATGAAGTGAGGTACAGTCTTGGAAATTAAGCCTATCTTCTACATTATGATCAATAGATACTCTTTACTACTGGTATTGAGATGATATAAAAGTATGAAATAATAAAATCATTGCTAACAGATGTAGACTCCCCTGTAGTTCTACACAGACACATAAAAGTCACATCTCTGTGTTACTGGAAACTGTACTCACCCATTGTAGCTTCTAGCCCACAGTTAATTTGCTGTAACTCTTCTTTTTGTTCTTTATTTTCCTTTTTCACACTCATAATATCATGTTTTCGATAATCCAGATCATTATCATCACCTTCACTGAACTTAGAAATAACATCATTGTATTGGAAATTATGAAGTTGCTCTGTTTTCACTCTGACAAGGATGTTCTGAAATGAAACAACAAATTAATGCCATCAATAAAGGCAACAAATGCACATCCTGTACTGCCACATCATTCATTTATTTAAAGCATGATGAATGACAGCTACATTTTGTTGTGAATATATATTTGATAAGTTCCCATAGTAAGCCACACAATATTTTGGTTGAAGGATTATTTAATATGAAAACCACCACCAGTATCAACAGCTGCTGTTTTATTAATTGTATATAATAATGATATGTATAATAGTAATAATTACTTTTACTCAGAAAATTATCACTTTAATTACAATATTGCCTACATAATTCTCAGAAATTCATACTCATTCCACTCTTAAAGAAAAGTATAAAAGTTTTAATCTACAAATTACCTCAGTCTTCTCTGTCATTTCGTCATAGTTCTCTTCTTGTTCCTCTTTTATTATACCAAACTTGAAAATGGAATTTAAAATATTTTTTTCTTTAAAGAAGCAGTTTCTTCCAAGGCTGAGGGTATAGCTTCAATAATACTGTTGTCTGCAACAATAAAATTGAATATATTTAAAATAATCTACAAACAACAAGAGATCATTTGATCCTTCTAGGCTATACTTATACATTCGACTTTTTTAAAAGTTACAATTTAAGCCCACCCTTTACTTTTCATGAAATCATCAATTTCCTTTTTAAAAATCCTGTAAAGTGCTGGCCACCACTTCTGCCAATTACAGCTTATTTCATAAGTAATCACCTTGTTAGTAAAATAAAACTGCATTAACTGAAACCTAGCTTGTCTTTTCCAGATCTCTAATTTGTATCCTACCATCTTGTTATTTCAGAAAATAGCACAAAAAAGCAACAATATTAGGACAAACTTGTGTCATTCTACCGTTTTGAGCATTAGAAGTGCATGTTTGACCACAATATTAGTTTTCTTGAAAAAGATATGTAATTTTTGTTAATCATTTTGAGGATATCACTACTATGAAAAAGTCATTTAAATTATTGACAAAGAAATGCTCTTCAACTTGTAAGCTTAGTCATACACAATTAAGAGGATGAGTAAGAAAATACTGTTATATGACTTTTTCTACATTTATTACACCTTTTTAGTAATTTATTGATTTTTTTCCATCAAAGCCCATTTTATATTCAGCATTAAAAATAAAGGGATGTTCTTAATTAGTTCACAGTTTACTGTACTGAATGAGAAAAACCCATATGTAACATGTGCTTCTCATTGCAAGCATCCTAAGTACAAGTTAGTGACAGTTAACTGGTCAAGATGTAATGCATTAAGAGCTATATTATTGAAGGATTTGGAGACCTTGATTCTATATTTGACACAAAGCACCAACGCGAATTTCCAATGAACAAACACTGTGAAAATCCTGGAAAGTTGGTAGTAGGTAACTAAAAGTAAAAAGAGGCAACATTCACCATAAATTCAATGGCAAGAAATAAAACCATCCTATAAAAAAGAGCTGATTTCTCAAAAATAAGCAAATAAATAAAAATAATACATAAACTCAATACTTTTTTACTTGATAATGTGTTTCTAGTTTCTACTTCATTGTCCAATAACTTCTTAATATCCAACAAACCTCTATGTTCATCATTAGAAAAGTTTAACATAATAGTCTAATACGTCCATAGTTATATTAATTAGATGGCTTAGATTTAGAATAAAACATGCGTTTAGTTATTATTTTTTCTAAAAGTTGAAAGCAATCACCACCAGAACCCCTGAACTAAGTAAGTTTCGAACTTAGTTTCTAGTTCTTGTTTCCTTATTCAAAATTATTACGAGTATGGTAAACAAAATGAAGAAATAATTAAAACATAACAAATAATGAAATACATGTATTAATCACAATATATTTATCATAAGAAAAAACAACAACAGATAATTGTCTTCATGGTCGTTTACCAAACAGGGGGACCAAACGTATTAGTTTTAAAATTTTCTAGAAAACAAATATTTTGAAAATGTTCTTCTTTTTTCTGAAGCTAGTTTCAAATTCAAATATGTTACAAACAACAGGAACGTAGTATAAAAAAACAAGGTTCGTCTAAAAGAATTACTTAAACACCTGAAACCACCTTTAAATTCTCACATGTAAGAGTAAACCAAAAGAGCTTTAAAATAAAAATAGAACCATTCGGGATTTTCAGTTTACCAACTAAATGTTATTAAAATTCGATGACGAGGAACCCACTTGGTACCTGATGATGACAAAACCTTGTCGAAACGTTGTACATGTGCTGTTATGTTAAACTTATATTAAAGTTTTTCTTCATTACTCATTCAAGCCGTCTCCAGCCATTATTAAATGTTATTAAATCTCTTCCGTGACGTGTCCACGGCGGTAACGGGGTGTGGGGTGGATCAGACTTCCTTGAGACTTATCAATTTTAGTGCATATTTTGTGTTTTGGGAATTTTTTATAAAAGTTTATGAAAGCTTTTAAATTGCTTGGAACATTAGTCCTAAACTATTTTTAGAATGTAGTAGATCTATTATTGTAACAGTATTGTTTCAGGACTGCTTAGATTGGTTTTAAGAATGTCTGTAGGATATCAGATTTTTTTCCCTTTTGAGTGAGTGCTAACTGATTTTAACTGTTGGTTTTAACCCTTCACCTTCATCTTGTAGTATTTAATTTCTTTTCTACTAGTTCATTGACACGCTTTTTTTACTGTAGTTGTTTTAGTGCAAAATACTGTTGCGTCATCGAGATCACGTGACTATTCTCACGCCCTCTACTTTCTAGAACTATCCTGTACTTTGGCGAATGCTCTAGCATTTACTAGATATAGGGTAGGCTGGTATATAAAAGAGGGTGACAACGTTACGCAATGTAATGTGTGTGTAGATAGTGAGTAATTGAACTGCAGTCAGAAGAAAAAGGGCAGGAATCCTATACATAAACAAATAATACGTAACATCAATACAGTTACAACAATAAGTTAATAATCGCTATGGTACATGTATCATGCCTGCCATATAAACATTAAATTATATCCACGACCTGCACGCAGTAAGTATAAGTATACATCTAGTACATTATTAGACCCTATATAAATCCCAGACTACATTAAGTCGATTGAGTGTGTGAACGGATATACAGCCGCTGTTATTTGTTAGGTAGTAAATTAAACTTAAAAACTACATTGAGCAATGGTGCGTTTAGTAATATTGCCCAAGTTTTATTACAATACTCGCAGCCATTTTTGCTGTAGGCCGGTGGAACAATATTGTTACGTCTCCGTTTGTTAATTGATTATCTGTAACTTCGTTCCGACGAAACTTTAGCGACACAAGTCCTTACTTAATAAAACTGGTTTATTCTTTCCGAATACAACTTTACGATACTCTTATTTTCAACAATCGCTCTGTAACAAACGCTATATCAATGAACGTCAACAACGGACACGACGCTGCCGATAGAATCACAGTTTGTTTTAACACTGCATCATATATTTCGGCCATGTTATACAAACGTGTAAAAAAGGGGAAACTTAGATCATTAGAAAATACAGAGAGAGGATAGATAGTTTAAAGTGAAATGCAATCACAAAAAGTAAACAAACAAGCTTAAAGTTTGAGACATAGTGTTGACATTATTTCCTCAAGTTACAAATCCCAATTTTGACTTTCCTTACTATTACAGCTTTTAGAGAAAAAAGTCGGTTGCGCTAAAGTTTGGCTTAATTCATTTTGGAGACGACATTGGGGTATGTTTGAGGACAAATCACAACTTACCTACGTAACATCTGTTAAAGAGTTTCTCTCTTGAATGAATGATAATACTAAGGTAATAACAGATGCTACTTCAGTTAATGGTAAAGTAATTACTTTTCATTGGAGACACAAGTATGTGTATCTGCCCCAGAAAGATCAAAACATCATTTTTATGGGGTCCTTCACCACTTCTCACCCTCATCTGAAATTACACCATATGCTTGAGAATTTGGATTTGTATTACGATACAGATAGCATTGTTTACGTTTGAGATGGATCTAATAATTCTCCTATAGGGGATTATCTTTGTGAACTTACAGATGTGCTTGATGGTCATTACATCACATCGTGGGTCAGTGGTGGTCCCAAGAGCCACGGATACTTACGTGATAGTGAAAAGTCCTGTTGTAAAATTAGACGGTTTCCTTTCAATTTTATTAACAATGAGAAATTAAACTACTCAGTAATGAATAGTAAAATAAAAAGATATATTCAGTCCTTTCCAGTATCCTATGACAGTGATAAATCCTAAGAAGATATGTAGAAATTTAAAGACGCAGACCGTTTATAACAAGGAAAAAAAAATTCTTCCAGTTAACACCAAATGACATATCCTTCAAGACTTTAATATTCTACTGTATGAATACTGAATTTTTTCATCTAATGAAATTAACTTCTCGCCTTGGTCTATGGAGTGAAAGAGGGTTAAGGAAGATTCCAAGTGTGCTCAAACATGATTTTCGAGGTGGATAATTGTCTACAACAAAGTTTTATGTGTTTAGTGTCAGATCTAACAAGAAATAGTAAATCATAAACAAAGTTTT